AGTCCATAACTTATAGGACAAGATGATCAAGACAAAATCTCATTGTCATACAAATCTATGTATGATCGACTTCCACATAAACCAAGGTGACGTCCCACTTTCATACAAATCTATGTTCGACTTGCATACTGTTGTTGCATGCAACTTGTGAGTTTATGATGAGAGTCAAGAAGTAGTACGTCGGCGTTTGCAACCTGTTGATATGTCTATTCAAGAAGACAAGAAGGCGATCAGACTGACAAAGTAACATGTATTACGTTGATGATGCATGTAGCACACCAAGGAACCAACATAAACTGAATAGAATTACAGATACAACGCTCATTAAGCAACATGAACATGAGCGAAAAGCCGGTGTTTTTCTTCCGGGTGGTGCTAACTATAGAAGTCTTAAGCCACAAGTTCGGCTGAAGCTTGTATGTATGTTAGCCAGCACATGAACTAGAGATGATCATGGGTGAGCAGGGATCCCCGGAATCACCACCAGCGGGCCGTTAATGGTACTGGTACCGGTAGTGGTTCCCACAACCGGCAAGTCTGGCAGCCCCAAAATCTTCGACTCGCCGACGCCAGCACCGGCACCGCGTGTCGCTGCAAGTGCGCGGTCCTTCTCATTCAGCTCCCTCCCGTCGCAGTGCGCGAGCACCACCAGTAGCAGTAGCGCGACAGCGAGGCACTTTGCCATTGCTAGCTCGGAGTCTCTGATAATACTACTGAGGAGAGTCTAGCTTGTGTGGCTGTGTATGAGTGATAGTATGTTGTGTGGCTTAGGCTTAGCTTCGTGTACATTGCTTCTTATAGGCGAGCTGCACGGGTGGCGGTGCGATAGCCAGAGGCAAACACGGCTGCATGTGCTCATTGCTTGATTGGAATGGGGCGGATGGATTCTTACTGTCCGTGAATCCGTGCCGACTTATCGCAGTCGAGAAGGCCAACTAGCGAGTCGAGGTGCAGCTGTCCAACTAGAGCTTATTGGTTTGGCTTTCTCCAGTATACTTTTCCCGACCGGAGACTATGGATCTGTGCCTGATCTTCGGGTGATGGGGCTGACTGTAGGATCTTTGTGATCTGCAAGTGGTTGCTGGAGGTAAGCTCCGATGGGTACGTTTCATTCCATATTTGGCCATATCTGACAGGCACTCGGATGTGCAATTTATGTTCTCACATCTCTCGTCTCTTCTCGTATACTCCCTCCGTAGCTTCAAAAACATTCTTATATTATGAGACGGAGGAAGTATATACTTAAAAAAAATAGGTAAGGTTATGTTTTGCTTCTTTTTTCTGTTCACTTTGTCTCCATCCTACATCCCCTATTTTCAGTTTTGCCGTTTTTTCCAACCAGTATTCGTTGAAAACCGCCTCAACTATCACGTTTTATTGGCTTACAAAATAATATCATATCTGGTAAACTAATAAGTATTGATCCAAGTGGCAATTAAAGTTCATTTTTGGTACGTAATCACATTAACAATAACGTGGCAGGTAAATCACGGTGATTGTGTACAAAATATGTGTGCACTAATTGTAATGGAGCAATTACCTAGTGGAACATATAAAACCTGTTAGGCTACCCGCCATTCTGGGTCTCCCGCTTGCGCCATGCTCGTTGGGCCGCTCGATCCATTTCCTTAGCTGCGTTTTGGCTGCTGGCAGCAGGCCTGCCGTCGGTTTTTTTTTTTACCTTCGTCGCTGCTTCAAGAGTCCATGGCAGGTGGACCTCGTTACATTTTGCATCAAAAAAACAAGGTGATTTTCGGCTCGTTTCGGTGGGATTGGACGATGAAGACAGACGGAGGAGGAAAAGATCTCCTCTCTCTCCCACGTCTCTTCCCATCCCCCCTCTTCCCCATGCCACCGTCACCACTTTCCCCTCCCTCGCCTCGTCTCCTCCACCTCCGCCTGCACCACCTCCTCCTCCCCTGCCTCCACACCCAGCTAGCACGGCCCGACCACGAGGAGGCCCTTGGTCGCCCAGGCAACCGCCGCTCGCCTCTTCCTCTCCTCTAACTTGGTCGCCTCTTTCTCTCCTCTTATTCTCAGATCGGGGGAAGGTCGTCGCCATGGAAGGCAGGATGGGTGAAGGAGTAAGGGAGGTTGCCGATGAGGGGAGGAGCAGTGAGGCCGGAGGTCGTCGCAGATGGCCTCCACCAACGTGTCAGGACCCCGATCCTAAGTCACACCGATCTAGCATGTAACACATCATATCACTTTGCGGCCTCACGCACGGTATTCCCACGGGTGCCACCTTACCTGGCCCGGGACCGTTTGTGCCTTTTGGCTCACGTATATGATTGTGCCGCTAGCATCCATATGACCAAGAACCCGAGCTGACATGGCTAGTCGTGAACCCAAAGTGGCACTAACTTACAGGGACAGGCATACATGACCCAACAACGAACGTGTCGGTCATCAGCGAGTGAATCCAGGCTGTAGCACTGGGCTAGCAGGACTCCGGTGAACCGGGCTGTAGCGGGCTAACAGGACTCCGGAATTCATCGCGTGACATTTCCCCGAGGGGACAGACACAGGAACGAAGAAGGACACATGCCGGCCAGCCTAAGTGTTCCGGAGCAGTAGCAAGCTACCATGGCTCAGTGGAAACACTAGGAGATATTTCCCAGTAAGAGAGACTACTAAGGATAAACAACTAGATAGTCAGATCCCACACATACCAAGCATTTCAATAACATACACACAATATGCTCGATATATGCAAATACAACATGGCATCACAACAGGACTCTACAACTCAAGTATTTTATTTAATAGGCTCCGAGGAACGAGATATTACAAACATGGGTCTCATGACCCAGCACTCAGAGCATACAAGTCAAAGCACACACGGAAGCTTAAAATATCTGAGTACAGACATCTACAAATGAAAAAGGCTGAGAAGCCTGACTATCTACCAGATCCTGCCGAGAGCACAAGATCGTAGCTGAGGTAACAAGCTAAACGTCGAAGTCCACGCGGTACTACTAGCGAGACTGAAGTCTCTCTGCAAAAACATAAATTAAGCAACGTGAGTACAAATGTACCCAGCAAGACTTACATCAGATCTAACTACATATGCATCATTATCAACAAGGGGATGGTGGGGTTTAACTGCAGCAAGCCAGCTTTTGACACGGTGGCTATCCTGAACTACGACTGCAAGCGACTCTTGATGTGGCGCACACGAGTCCACATATTCACCAACCAATACACCACTATGGATCCGCTCCCGTCTCCCTACGAGAACGCCATCCATAGCACTCACACTTACCTTGCGCATTTTAGAGTATCCACTTTCACTTGTCTATGAACTATACAGGCAACCCAAAAGTCCTTTTCCGCGGACACGGCTATTCGAATAGATGATGTTAACCCTGCAGGGGTGTACTTCTTCACACACGCTCTCACCACTTACCGCCGTTTACATGACATGTACTCGGCAACCTTCAAGCGGAAGCCCAACGAGGGTGTCGGCCACGGCCTACCTAAACACTCAAGTCTCTAGTCCAGGTTTATCGCCTATTCGGGTTCCATCCGTGAGGAGATCCGGCCGGGGTTTCGCTCACAGCCCCAAACGATGTGAACAGGGTTCCGAGACACCAAACGGGCGCTCGGTATACCCGGCCACGTGCCTACCGCATCACAGCCTACCCCTCCGGTCAGCGCTGCCCACGGCCTCCAGCATACTACAAACACCAGAAACTACTTGCAACTCCTGGACAAAGGACAAGGGTGATTAAGAAGCCGAGAGGGTCCATTGGTTTCGGGCCCAATGCGTGGTAGTATCTGTTTCATGGATCACAAACACAGAACTCAGTTCCTGAGGACGGCTGCAATGAGACAACCCACCATGTACTCCTACATGGCCTCTCACCGCTACCTTTACCAAATCGTGTTCACACACTTAGTTCACACACAGTAGGACATATTCATACACCTCTGATTCATCCCCGATGAATCAGACCTGACTCAACTCTAAGCAGTAGCAGGCATGACAAACAAAACATGAATGAGTAGGCACATCAGGGCTCAAACAACTCCTACTCATTCTAGTGGGTTTCATCTATTTACTGTGGCAATGACAGGTCATGCAGAGGATAAAGGGGTTCAGCTACCGCAGCAAGTAACAGATGAATCGTTGTTGTCCTAATGCAGTAAAAGAGAGCGGGAGCGAGAGAGTGGGATTTTATCGGAATGAACAAGGGGGTTTTGCTTGCCTGGCACTTCTGAAGATAGTATAGTTCTTCATCGATGTCATCGATCACATCGTCGGTACACGTCTACTGAGAGGAGACAAACACCGGCAACAGAGAAAGAACACAATCAATGCAATGCAACAATATGATGTATGATCATGACATGGCAATATGCTGTGGTTTGAGCTAATGCAACTAGCATCAAGTTAAATGAAGTTGGTTTGAACCCTAGGTTCAAATTCAAACTCCACATGAGGCATTTCAAATGCCATTTATTCAAATTGTTGTACATAGCAGATTTAAGTTGTTCAACATGCATGAAAATGGTACAGATGGATAGATTGGATTTTTCTGATCATTTTTTCATATATAAATTATTTGATTTGGAGCTACGGTTGATTTTATATGATTTTTAGAAGTTTAGGACATTTTCTAGAATTTCCTGAATTAAAATAAATCCAGAAAATACATGTTGCGTCAGCATGACATCACCCTGATGTCAGCAGGTCAAAGGCGCCAGCCCAGGTCAAACCTGACGGCTGGGACCCACATGTCAGTGTAACAACTAACTAACAGGGTTAGTTAGTGTTAAGTTAGCACTAACCTAGGTTAGTTAGGGCCTGGGCCCACTGGTTAGTGTCTAAACTAACTGTCAGGGTTAATTAGCACTAATCTAAATCTAACTAAAAGTTAACAGAGACGGGCCCGCACGTTAGTGACCCTGGGGGGTCAAACTGGGGTCAAACCGAGTCAAACGAGGTCAAACCTGCCGGCGACTCGACGCCGGCGAGGCCCGAGACGGCGGCGCAGCTCGGAAATCGCCCACGGGCGTCCAAATGGGCGGCGGAGAGGCTCTACGGGTGCAGCACGACGAGGCGCGTCTAACGGGGCAAGCGGGAGCAGCTGGGGTGGACCGAGCTCGTCGGAAGTGAGCTCATGGCGGCGGCCGGAGTTCGGCCAACGGCAGGTTAGGCGATGCAGGGCACTAGGGAAGGCGTTGGTGTGTGCTACGTGCCCCTGGGAGTGCCCTGAGCATGGTGACGTGCTCCGTTGCGGCTCTAGGTGACGGTGGCCACGGCGGCGACATGTCCGGCGGTGAAGAGCTCTCGGCTCCGACGGCATCGGTGTTAGAGGAAGAAAACGAGCCAGGGGAGAGGGGGAAACGACACAGGAGCTCACAGCGGGTGCAGCGGTGGCCTCGGCGAGCTCGGGGAGGCACCGGAGCGAGCGGAGCATCGAGGGGGATCTCCGGCGGCCGGCGATGGAAACGAAGACTGTGGCATCGATTCAGGCGTCCCGCGGGTGCGTGGCTTGGTGAAGGGGTCGAGGACGAAGTGGCGGAGCTTCTGGGCGCAGTGGCAGGGCGAGGGGTGGCCGGTGGTCATGGGGGTGCTCGTCGGCGTTCTCGGGCGGTCACGGCGATCGCGGGAGAGAGAGACAGAGGAGGAGATGGGGACGAGGGAGAGTGCGAGGGGGTTCCAGGGGGTGGCGTGGA